GAAATCCTTCAGAGGCTCCCACCTCTTTCCCTGGCTTCTGTGGTCCTGCTTGACCTGATTCCTGCCACTTTCTCCAGCCCCATCCCTCATCATCTCCCACTGGACCTCTCTCGAGCTGCCAGCTGAACCACTCCCGGGACGCGCCAAGGTCCTTTCCCTAAAGCACGAGGCCTCCTTCACACTGGCCCTGTTGTCAGTCCCCTCTTCCTTCCTATGCACATTTAATGAGCACCTACTCCACGCCAACCCTGTCTTGAACATGGAGAGGCTCAAAAAGCAGCTGAGGACATCTGTGTGAGTACACGTGTGAGTGTGAGTGTGCACATAAAACAAGAATCCAAACACATCCAGCCTGACCCTCTTCTGATTGCTGGGCTGGATTGCCTTGAAGACAGAAAACAAACATTCAACAGAGTAAATAAGTCACTTATTTAGTATGTGAGAAGGTTCTAAGAATTATGGAAAGAAGCAAAAGGTGAGCAGGTGAGATGAACCAGGAATAGCCGGATGGAGGGTATGCGAGTTTAAACAGGGTGGTCAGAGGCGGGCCTCCCTGAGAAAGGGACAGTTGGGCAAACTGGAAGAAGGGAAGAGACTAAGCCAGACAAGTATGGGGGTGGGGGGGTGGAAACAGCCCATGCAAAGGCCCGGGGGTGGGGCAACAGAGGATGGAGTGTACCCCACAGATGGTACTGAGATTACTCCTCCCCAGAGAGAGGAAGCCATCACTTTTTCCGCGGCCTTATCTGATGGCTGCGGTCAGAGGAGCAAGTGAGGGCAGGCGTGAGGGCTGCAACAGCTCAACACATCCGAGGGGCCTCAGTGGGGCCCCAGAGCAGCTGACATCCGCTCGGCCTGCGGCTTCTTCCTGTGGCTTCTGCAACGCAGGTTGCCCCAGTGGGGGCTATTTTTGCTCCTGTTTGGGGTTCTGTGCAGGGCTCCTCTGTGCCTGGTACTGGGGGCTGCTGGGCCTGGCCCTTCTTTGGGTTTGCTCTGCTCAGCCATTTAAATGTTCCAAGTGTCTTTGGGGATATTTACTGTCCAGCAGGTGGGAAAGAAGAGGAAATCTGTTATACATGTTCTCGCGTCCGTCCTCATGACCCTCCAAGATCAGAGAGGTTAGATGGTTTATCCAGGGTAACACAGCCAAATCAAACCACAGGCTGGGGATTCTGAGGTCTGAAGGCCCTTAATCTGCAAGGAGTCATTTGCCTTTGCACCTAAATTAATGTTTCCCAAGCAGCTGCTCTGTGCTATATGTCCTTCCAGAGGGCATGAGGATAAAGGTGCATCATACCCGGTGTCAGTCCCCCCAGAGCATCACAGCACTGATGGGGAAGATTACGATGGGGTGGATGCAGGGATGGGTCCCTGGCCCAGACTGTTGGGGGGGTGGGAGGAGTGAGCAATCAGAGCAGGTCTCCGAAAAGCAATGATGCTACAACTCTGTCTGCAAGAATGAGCAGGAGTTCAAGGGGTAAAGGAAACATTCTGGACAAAAAGGTCTGCATGTATAAAATCCAGAAGCACCACAGCTTGGTTAGTCTGGGAGGGGGCTTCAGAAAGCTGCCCAGCAAGTGATGATTCTGCCTGGGAGGGAGGAGGCAGAAGCTGGCTTGCTGACTGCAAAAAAATGAGATCAGACAGGTGCCCCAGCCCCCCAAGTGGCCACATTAAGGGTATCAGAACAGATCCAACAGGTTCCAAGCAACCATCCAACAAAAGGCTTTCAGCAGGGGAGTGGTTCACAGAGATCCTGCTAGCTGTGTGAGGAGAGCAAACTCCACAAGGAAGGTGGAGTCAGGAAGGCCCAAGCGGAGGCTCCCGTATCACCCAGACAATCAGCCAGGTAATAGTGAAGTGGGGAGGTGGAGTTGTACCCCGTGGGGGCAGCCACCCGGGAGTGAGGCAGAGAGAAAGGCCAGGGATGATGTAAGCCAAGGAGTAAACAGCACAGTGTTTACCAAGATGGGCGTGTGTGGGGGTGGGGGCGGATGAATCAAGACAGGGACCACTTAGAGTCACCGTCTCCTTCAGATGAACCCTCTGGGGCAAGGGTGTGCAAACCAAAGCGGCTTCTCTATACCGTCCCCTCATTCATAAGAGGTGGCTGCTCCCACGGCCTCAACTGCTCCGCACAGCAAGTAAGACCCAGGGAAAGTGAGTACGTGGCCTGAAGTCCCACCCAAAAATCGAGAGGGAAGCCTGCAAATCTAGGCCCAACTGATTTCTGTATCAATGCCCATTTCGACAGATACCCAAAGCAGAGGGCCCCCACGCCCTCCCTGGAAAATGGCACCCCAGGGTCTGGGAGAAGCTGGAGAACTCACTTCCCATCTACGGTATTTCAGGGCTTCATTTGTGATCCACTGATGTGAACACTTGCCAGGCCCCCTGACTGGACAGAGATGGTGATCCTGGACAGCCCTCGGGCCCCCTGAGGCAATCACAGCGGGTGCCACAGAGGGAGCCCCAGCTATGCTGGAGCTGCCTCCTCGGGAAACCTCGCATCCCTGCCTCTGCTCCCAATTTCGTTAATTACTGGTTTGCGCATACAGGAGGCAGCAGGAGGGAGAGAGTCATCATGGGTGCCACTAATCACAGAAAGGAAATTAATTTCAAACATGAAGCTCATCCTCCACTGGAGGTTCCACATACAGCCCTGATTTCCAACATGGAATAGAAGAGTAGGAGTTGGGAGGACCAGCCTGAACTATTTTTCTAAGGGAATCGGAGACCAAAAGAAGGCAAAGAAACTCACCCAGGATTGCAAAACAATTACATAGAAGAATATAAACATATAACTCTGGCTTCCCACTCCCTGGGCACCTTCATCCTCTCCATAAATATTCATTAGGTGTCTGCTGTGTGTCAGACTCCATGAGCCAGCAGATACCCTGGGCCCCAGTCAAAGGCTCCCAGGGTCCTCCCCCAAGAGAGGAGAGTATTTTTATTCACTGACCACCAACACAGTGCTTTATATATCTAGCCCCATTTAATTCTAATAATCTGCCATTTTATAGGTAAGGAAACTGGCTCAGACAGGTAAAGTGACCTGCCAGAAACCACACAGCAAACACAAAGCAGAGCCAGGACTCAAAGTCAAGTCTTAAACCTGGGTTCAGCTCCTGTTCTCCAAGTCCAGGGGGGGATTCAGGGGTGGTGATACTCCAGCCACACCCTCCCTTCTAAGACCACTCCCACCGCCCTTCCAAAGCCTTTCTCCGACCCTGGGCTCTCAGCTAGCACTGGCCTACTGGCTGGCTGTTGTGCCGAGACCCCACCAATACAAGGCTAGTATTCAGAAAGCTGTTCAGGAAGCGTTAAAAATAAGAGTCGGTTCTGTTTCAAGACAGCCAGTAAGTCCCTGTAATTAACTCCTCTCCCAGTCAAGAGCCCGTGAATGTAACCAGAGACATAGGGAAATTGGTCCCAGACAGGGCTACGTAGCAGAATGTGGCTCTGAATCCAAGCTCCCTAAGAAGGGAACCAGAACAGAGTCTCTAGCTGTAAGCACAAGGGGGAGAGTTCCTCAGGTCCTATGCCCATATGGGCAGATTTGTGTGCGTGCGCACGCGCACGCGCACACACACACACAGTGTTAGCCATGAAGTTCTCCTGAGCAGGGGTAAGGGTTTGGAGCATTTGTTCATTCACTCACTCAACATTTATGGAGGTCCTACCACATACAAGGCAAAGTACTAGGCAGTGTGTGTGTGCATGCACACACGCAATCATCACAATACAGGGAAGGAAGTATCAGTGTCCCCATTTTATGGATAAGGAGACTGAGACTTGCAAACTCAAGAAACTTGCCCTATGTCACAGATTGTATTTGTGGCAGAGTTGAGATCTGAAATCAGTACCTAGCCCAGACTCTGGTACACAGGAGGCACGCCATGGCCATTTCCTCAGTGGCTGGCTGGCTCCAAAGCCTCCCCCAGCAGACTGAGGGCCTGTGACCTCTTGCCTTTGATCCAGCATGCAGAAACTGGAGATCATGCAGGGGGTACAGAAGCTTCTGTTTCTTGGTCTCTCTCAGTTCACCTGGGACATTCCAAGCAAGGGAAAGCAGGCATTTGAGGGCGGTTTCCGTTTCTGGGACACACGTGCACAAAGCCAGTTTTTCAACAATGACCTTGATGAATCAGAGCACCAGGAGAGGTCAGGTCTCCTGCTCATCAGGGTGCAGCCCTGTCACCTGCAACCAGCCCCACCCCCAACTCAGCCAACTCCCTCCACAAAGACCATCTCCCCAGCGACAGCTAGAAAATGCCATCAGTGTTAGGTTTCTGCATTCAGGATCTGTCACCTGTTATGTGTGTATGTGTTTGCCCTTAAGTCTGTGACAATGTTCTCCCTCATCTTTGGCTGTCCTTGCTTTTCCAACAGGATGGCAACTGGCGATCCCAACTGGTTATTTTTCCATATTCTTAATGGACAAAAGGAAAAGGTGGTACTTGCAAATTTGGAGAGGAAGTTTTATTTATTCCACAAACTCAAAAATCCAGTGGTAGGAGGCAGCTCAAACTTTGTTCCATCCCTCCTGCCTTGAAAAGCCCTCCCCACTCCTCACCCTAGGTATCTTCTGGGCTCCTACCATACCATGTGCTAGCCCCATCCTTGTTTCTGGTCTGAGTCGGCCAGACCCCCCACCCACACCTGGCCAGGCCCACTGCAGGGGGTGCTGAATGGATAAATGAATGAATGAATGAACAAATGCTTCTGGAGCACGCTGGGCACCTATGATGCTCAGGGCGCCAAGACCTGCCCCTCCAGGGGCCAATCCTAGCCACTTTCAGAATTCCTTTTCAAGAAGGGGCTGCCAACTGCCGGTCTCCTGGACCCTCCAGAGCATTTTCATTCCACAAGGAGACAAGCACCAGTCCAGGTCCCGGCCTGCACCCCCCCCGCCCCCACGAGGCACCGTCTGTCTTCATCCCGCAGCGACAGCCTGACCACCTCCACCGCAGAAGGTGGCGGTACCACCCGCTGCTTACCTTCTGCTGAAACACACCTGCAATGCACCAGCGTCTTGCAAGTAGAAGGAGCCCGAGTCTCATTCCACAGAAGCCCTGGCAGCGAGAGAACGCGCCCGCGACAGCCTCTGTGCGATTCTGCTGCATAATCAGCACAGAAAGAGAAAAAAATGCCAGAAATAGCAAGCTTTATAAGCCCTCCTGACAAGTCTTGGTCCTCTATTGGCTGGAGGCCCGGCACCCCCGCCCCCCATCCCATTCCTATAAGGTGAAATGGAAAAACCTGTTATTTAACCTCTTTTATCAAAATCTATCTCCCATCCCAATCTGGGCCTGAGCGTTCGGAGCTCCTGGCATCGGTCTCCACACCAGGTCTCGGGGAGCGGAAGGGGAGGCAGCCTTTCCCACTCAAGCACACTGCCTCGGGAGCAGGTATTGAGCTGGAAAGGCTTCTGGAAGGCAGGCTGGCAGCACCTGTCAACATGTGAGAGTTGCATGCCATTTCATTTGGCAATCAGACTTCTCAGCATCTGTCCTGCAGACAACCCCGTTCTGGTGTGCACGGTGCATGCCCACAGATGTTGCTCATTACAGACAAGAATGAGGGGCATGCTCAATGTCTAAAACCACGGTCGGGGTGAATGGATTAAAATATATACATTCTGTGTAATATGACGGAATGAGGAAGGTCTGCAGGTGCTGCCTTGGGACTGGTTGGGAGAAAAAGTCAAGGACATGATCTCCATTTTTATAAAAACAATAACTCTGTGTGTGTGTGTGTGTGTGTGTGTGTTTGGATATGCCCTGTCAAAGATGCCAAACTGTGAACAGTGATCACCCTGCGGAGTAGGAGAAGGGGGTATTTTCATTTGCCACTTTTCTCTTTTTTGTCTTGTTTTTCTTTTTCTTTTTTTTTTCCTCTTCCACAAGCATGTATGACATTTGTAATTTCAAAAAAACAGAAGAGCCTCCCTGGTTCCTTCCCACTCCTCCGACACCAGCAGACTAAGGGCCAAGGCCACCCACCCCAAGGCTGGATCAGGTTGGGACAGGGCTGGCTGGAGGCACTATGGATCCCCCTGCAGGCTCATTAGCTTTCACACAGATGCAGTTAACTTAGGGCTCCATGATGAATGTGGACTCTGGAATAAGACAGAACTGGGTTCAAATCCTAGCTGTGCCTGCTGGAATGGTTAGCCTCCCTGAACCTTAGTTTCTTCATCTGTAAATCAGGATGGAAGTACCTATTAAGTGCCACGTATCATGCTGGGCACTGCTAAACCAATTTTAATTTTTGGACATTTCAGAAATACCAGAGACTGCTGAGGAAGGCTCACAGAGAGGAAGACATCCAGGACTCAGTGAGAGGCGTTCTGAGAATCATCCCATTATTGAACATTTATAGCAATAATAAACTAAGTGACAAGAAGGACCTGGGTAACGGTGACATAGGGGACCGATGCCCAGATTTCTGCATGAGGAGGGGGCGGGGGGATCAGAAAAGGCTCCAGAGAGAAAGAGCCTTGCATCTGTGCTTCTGCACCTTTCCCATGCTGTTCGCTGTGCCTGGATCATGCTTGCCCAGACCCTCACACAACTGACTTCTCATCCTTCACATCCTGCTTGGAGATCTCCTTCCTCCCCAGAGAGGGCTCCTTTGAATAACCCACACTGAATTACTCTCTTCATAGCACACCCCTCCAGCCAATGGTTTCTGCTTATTTGTTTCGATGGCTTCCATTTCTGTTTATTGTTCCTCTTCCCCACAAGGCTGTGAGCTCCGTGATGACCAGGACCCTCTAGAGCCTTGCTCATCTCTGGGTCTTGGTTCCTAGCAGTGGGCCTGACACAGAGCAGATGCCCAACAAATAGAGAGTACACACAATCTGTAGATCAAAGGCCCAGATCCCAGCACATGGAGCTTGTGTGAAAGAAAAGAAAATATAGATTCTGTACTATGACAGAAAGATGGAAAGTTCAGACATATTGAAGATGTGAAAACACACACACACAAAGCTGGGAGGGTGCTAGAAAAGCCCATCCATGAATGCTTCTATAGGCTTAAGATGGGAAAGGACTTTCTAGGCCCAAATTCATTTGCACACAGACATTTATTTCTTCATTGCAACATTATTTATAAGAAAATGGAAACAAGAATAAAATCCATTGAGGGGTGCCTGGGTTGCTCAGTCAGGTGAGCATCCGACTCTTGGTTTCAGCTCAGGTCAGGATCTTGGTCATGAGGTCAAGCCCCGTGTCAGGTTCCATGCTCAGTGTGGAGTCAGCTTGTCCTTCTCCCTCCTCCACTGCCCCCTTCTCACTTTCTCTCTCTCTCTCTCTCAAATAAATAAATAAAAATCTATAAATGTCATGCTGTTGCTGTTTGAAAAAACAATAAAATCCCTTGATAGGGAATTGGTTAAATAAATCACAACTCTCTGTACAATGGAATACTATGCAGCCATGACAAATGATCTGCATTCTCTGATATGGAAAGAAGCCCATATTGCTTGTTGGGTGTTGAACTTTCTAATTGGAAATGAGAGGCTCCAATAAGCAAAAGGTGCAACTGATTGTTACAGAGAAAGTGTGAGGCTAAAAGCCTTCAATTATCATTTATTAATTCATTCACTCAACAGCATTCTCTGTTCCCTGTGCCTCGTCCTTACTCTATGCAGGGCAGGGTTCCAGACAGAAGGGCTGTGTGTGATCAGGACACTGTCCTTGTCCTCAAAGACAGCTCAGCTCAAATATGTAGGTGAGAAACTAGTACATAAGGGAGACAGTGCTCATGGCTAAGGGCCGCAGGGTCATCAGCTGAGGGGGGCTTCCCAGAAAAGGTGTCATCCGAGCTGGGGATGGAAGGAGGGGCACTGTTGGGTGGGTATACAGAAGGGAGGGACCATGTTGAGAGGCAGAGGTGGGGCAACACTGGGCAGGTGCAGAAAGTCCCTGCATTCTCCATCAAACACTGAACTCCACCATGGGTGGGAAAGGGGATCCGAGAGCTGAGCCTGGGTCCAGAAGATTCTGGACTTGGTTCTGCCACTCATGAGCTAGAAAGAGGAATTCTGGGGTTGTGACGATGCTGTCCCCTGGTGTGTGTGGTCACAGAACAGCTTCCCGACCTTGACTCACTCACCCTCAGAGTGCCTGCCCCATTAAACATTGATCTTGGTCATGAGATCAAGCCCTGGTACCCAGTGCAGGGTGGAGGGGGTCCCTTCTGGGGTAGAGCCAGGGAGGGACCGCTGCACCTTGACAGAACTCAGCATTTTTTAGTTTAGTTTTTTTTTTTTCCTTTTATTTGGGGCATTTTGAGGCAGCTTGATGGTTATGGTTCAAAACAAAGAGAGATGACTCAGCTTCATGTGGAGAGCCGAAGCCTTTTGGAAAAGATATTTCCGTTTGAATGCTTCTCTCTTCTCGGCCACAGAGGCAGCTCATCCAGGCTGCCTTGTTTTCTTGACATTCAACTGTTCCCAGGGATGAGGGCCGGGCTCCTGGGGCCAGACTGCCTGAGTCCAAATCCTGGTACTACCCCTTACTCACTCAGAAGATCTGGACAAAGTTATACCCTCACTGAGCCCGTGTTTACTTAAGACTGCCTTGCGGGGTCTTTGTGCCAAGCCACCATCACTCATGGAAAGGGTCCGGTCCCATGCCTGGCACAAAGTGAGCGTACAGTAAATGTCACTATTAGTAATGACAGCGCCCCAGCCTGAGCTTCTCCTGTGCCTGGATCATCTCACTTACTCCTTACACGCCGCCAAGCACAAAGTGCCATTTTGCAGGTGAATCAACTGGGGCTCAAAGCAATGAGCTGACTTGTGTTTCCATCTTCCCATTCAAGAGGGTCAGTGCACACACACCAGGCTGACTTAGGAATGAGTCTGTACCAGCTTTTTCTTTCCATCTGACTCTCTCTGCACCAGCAGCCAAACGCACACCAGCTCCTCAGGCCTTTATCCGCAAAATGGGGACAATATTCTGAGGTTGTTGCAATAGTCTAGTCACGGCTTAATAAAAATAATGCCATCAAGGTGCTTAGAAACCTTCAATGTCATCACATCACTCTTTCCTCTGGGACAAGGCGTCAACAAAACACCGAGCTCTTCATGTACAATACCCCAAGGACAGGCACAAAGCTGTCTGGGAAAACACCCTCACAAGTCAGGCGAAAACCCAAAAATGAGAAAGAGGCGCAAGCTCATGCAAATAAAAAAGAAGAAAAGGACTTTAAAATGACCCGTCATCAAATGGCCACCCTGCATCAGGACATGAACACAGGGTCTCTCAAACTTTTGTCCTGGAACAAATGAAGAAAAAAAAAAAAAGCCGATGCAGGCGAACACATGTAACTCGAGACAGTCAAACCCTTTCCATCCCCTTCCCCTGCTTCACCCTGAAGGACATGCGGACAGGGCAACCTTAATAGTAACTGACTAACTGTAAACCCTGTGATTACCAGGGTTGATTTCCATGGAACTTCCTTTTACAGCGCCGAGAACCTCTCTGGAGCGTAATTGCCGAGTTCAATTTTAGCTCTGTCACATCCAACCATCGCTGCTAAGGCGGGGGCTTCCGTGCCAGGTAAGCTGTAATGAAGTCAGCTCCCTGCTTCATTTCACAATATTGTGATGCCCCCGTCAGCACCTATAAGTGCTGAGAAGCTCCGAGCTGCTGTGAAGTAAATCTCACCCAAGGGAAGTGATTAAAACCGCTCTGCGCCGCAGAGGGGCCTGGCTGGGTCCTCGCACCCACTGGGACGGTGTGGCTGCTCAACCCCACGCGACTCCTCGCCCTGCCTCCCTTCCTCCTCTGTAGGTGCTTCCTGCTCCCCCCACCCCTCCCACAGCCCTGTCAGCATTCGAACTCACGTCTGACTGCGCGCAGTCTCACCAAATGGCCCCCACACGGCCTCCCACGGTGCGGCAGGTGCACTTTTGTGGGGCTTCAGCACAACACCACGTGCCAGCCTCCCTTTGTCACGGCGCCCCCACTGGCCTTGGCATCTGTCCTGTTATGAAGCAGCCCCCACCTCCCCCACACACGACTCCCCCTGACCGGGTTCCACCAGCACAGCTGTACTCCCGGGCGCTGCCACGCCTGTCTGGCCTGACTTTGTGCAGACCTCACCTTTTGTCCAGAAACTGGCAGGAGCAGAGGGGTGAGGACTGTGCCCTCTGAGCGCCCACTACTGGCCGGGCGCGCACCAGGTACTTGGTACCCATGTAATCCCCACCATCAGCCAACAGCAAGGGGGCAGGGGCGCATCCCCTTGTTTTATATTTGGGGAATCTGAGGTCTGAGACCTTCCATGAGGCTGGTGAGAGGAACTGTTTTCAGTTCCA